TGAACTATTCCTTTAAAGTATTTCAAGGGTTTATTTAACCTTTGAAAAAACAGTTCAGTATCAACTTTTTCAATCTTATTCTGATTTTTATATTTGTATTCAGTGTGAAGCTTTGTTTGCTGCCTCCTGTTCCTGGACCAAAAATCAAAGGATTCGACAAACAATTGCTCAAGGTAATAGATAAATCACTCATGCACCTCGAAAAAGGCCTGTGTCCAACTAAACTTTGAAATTTTTCAGGTTAGCTTTAAGGTAGACTCCATAATTTCAACATATTTGGTGGTTTTTATCATCATGGTAAATGGAATCTTAGCTTTTGTGTGTTTGTTTTACATTCAAACCGCTGATGGCATGTATTTTGGACTGCTATTAAGTATTGCAACCATTTATTTATACAGTATTTATTCAATACAGATTGCATCAAAGCAGCTTCACAGTAATAAACAGGACACCCCTGCCTTAAGGGATAATTCACCTAAAAATTAAAATTCAGTCATCATTTACTTGCCCTCAAGTTGTGCCAAACCTGTATGAGTTTCTTTCTTCTGTTGAACACAAAAGAAGATATTTTGAAGAATGTTGGTAACCAAACAGTTGCTGGCAGCCATTGCTTTCCATAGTATTGAAAGAATAGTATTCTTCAAACATTCCAACATTCATCAAAATATCTTCATTGGTGTTCAACAGAAGAAAGAAACTCATACAGGTTTCGAACAACTTGAGGGTCAGTAAATGATGACAGTTATATATTTTCCCTCATGCCTCATGCATTTTTGAGGAAGTTATCTCACTTGCTTTACTTGCTTTTTTACAGAGTGGAAAGTCAGAGGAAGTTTTCAGTTCTCTGGTGATCCAAGGTTTCCCTCCAACCATCGGTTACGACGACTTACTGGTGGAGTACCTTGAGGTGTATGACAATGAGGAGCAAGAATTGGTTCTGGACAGTAAAGATCTATCAGAGGTCTGCATGAAGTCCAAAAGCCTGTCAGACTGCGACTCGGGCAGGGGAAGCTGCGACAGTCGCACTCTGCTTTTGGAGAAGTGCATGGAGGGACGGGAAGGGAGTGGAAGCGATCAACATCAGTACAGCCAGCATGGAGAAACGAGCTGCACTTCTACTGAGAGCAGTGAATGCCAGGGTCTCGAACCTGGTTCTCCAGAGTCCTCTGATGGACGTGTGAAGACCTGGCCTGTTGTGTTTTCGTCTCCGCAACCTCACCACCATTACCAAGTTGAAGCTGTGAAACCGGTCTACCACAGTGTCCCAGAGATCCTCAACCGTTCATCGCCACACGCAATGCCAACCAACTACCACCAGCTACACCATCAGGACATCCCACAACAGGAGGGTCGCTTCAGTAAACCAGCCTGCCGACATTCCCAAAGCTACAACCAGTTTAACCTGGATGGCCTCGACACTCCTGCTCCTGGCGTATCTCCGTCACGTTCTCTGGAATACGTGGAGGTGCAAAGGGTGAACCCGGAGAATATGCTACTGCTTAGGCCGCTTTCGGACCCAAACCGTGAACCTGAGGGGTCCGATTATGCTGGGGAGGACTACAGCAAGGTCAAAGAAGTAACATCAAACAATATTCTGCTTCTGCAGAGGGATACGTACCATCAGTGCGTGGACGATTACAGCCAGGACTTGGACAGCCAGGCTGGTCAATGCACAACCCAGCAACCACCTCACCCCTGCAAACCTGTCATCTACCAATCGAACAGTGGGATGCCACAGGAAGGCATGAGGGTGATGGGAAATGGTTATGTGGACTCAACAGTCTTAATGCCATCCTACTAGCTCATAGTGGTCAATTGCAATGCAGCAAAAACAATAAGCTGAACATAAAACCTTGAGCAAAAAAATTTGCTTTTCTCCCTCTCAGATCTTGCTACAGTGATTTAATGAAGAGGATTTATATTTATAAAACTAGTTAGCTTTAATGATATTGTATTAGCAAGAGTGTTATGTTTCAGAGCTGAGGTCTGAACTTTTATGTAAGCACTGTAAAGGGTCTTGAAAATAAATGTTCTTCATTTGCTTTGAAGGTTCCATGAAGAACCCTTTAACATCCATGATGGAACCTTTCCATTGCACAAAAGGTACAAGGTTCTTTAGATTATTAAAATGTTCTTCACACTAAGAAAAAAAAGTTTTTTTAACAACTATGGACTGAAATGTTCTTTGGGGAACCTAAAAATGGTTCTTCCATGGCGTTAGCCCTTTGGAAGAGCGTGAGAAGTCATCGATTTTGTTTCTTTGACAGATTGTGTACTTTGATGAGGTGACACTTATAAACACCAAAAACTGTTTTCTTTACACTTAAATCAAGTCTTTAACATTAACATGAGATCCCATTTACTGCAAAATTCACTTAAATTCTATATGTTCTGTATTCTGTATGTATGTTAGTCAATAGCCCCATAGCCATTTAGACATTGTGATTTCATTGGAAATTCTACTTTTCAAGATCCAGCAACCGCCATTGCAATTCTCCAATACTTTTATGCTGTTTTACTCAGAAATATATGGTATTTTGGAAGTAAAATTGGTTGTGAATGCCATTTCTTGTTAACTTTTAATGACTTGTCATATTTTGAGATTCATGAGATTTGAAAACTTAGCACTTAGCATAGTTGCCCTCAGCAATCCACTATGCATTATGTTGTTGTATGTATTTTCATCATGGCACTGTTACGTGTTAAAAGCCACTACTTTTTTTTAATGCCGCTATTCACTCCTAAACTACATGACGGGGTCTGTTTCTATAATGTACATGGCCTATTTTTTAAACTGATCTTAAGTATTGTCAAAGCATTCACCCAATTCAAAACTTTTGCTTGATGCATTTCACTACACATTTAAATTAATTTTAAATATAATGGCAGTATGCTGCATATTATATAAACACAAGAGCATTATTTGCAGTCGGTTTATACCTAATGTAATCCTGCTGGAAACAGCATAATCTCAGCCATACAATTCAAAATGTCTTTGCTTATTAATGGTTTACACACATGCAAAAGTAAATACATGAAAGGGGATTTGAACTGATTGTAAACTCTTATCATTTTAAAGAATTTGCCTTTGATATTTACAACTCTCAGGTGGAGGAAAACTTACTTAAACACTCCTGCCGAATGTATGTATTATAAATGTTATTGGCACTGATTTCAAACACGAAAGCAAAAGCAGTGTAAAATGAAAAATTGCAAACTGCCAGCATTCAAATATTTTTCCAAATATGTTACAGTGAGTTGTTCACTGTAAGAATTTGTGTGTTTCTGTGAATGTTAACCTTGTGAGAATCTATTTTTCTAAGTCTGTATATCCTTAAATCCTAGGTAGCCATTAATTCATGGAGACAAGGAAGATTTTAGCCCTTGCCAATTCAAGAGTCAACCTCCACATGTTGCCTTATTTTATGCATACATCTCTGAAAGCCGACTGAGGTGTATTTTTATTTTATTTTTATTTTTTTGGAAAGGGTAAATTACCAAATATATATTTATGTCTAAAGTTGCATTACGCATACATATAAATATACAATAATTATTCAATTGTTATATATAATGTAGAAATGCATTTATATGTAACCTACAGGCAATTTATATACTGATAAATAGTTTTGTTAGTTTTGCCTAAGCCATACATAAATCATCCCATCTAACTTTGTTGATTTGTGAGTAGCGTAACGTTTTCTTTGTTGCTCAACAGTCATATATTCTCAGTTTCATGCATAATAAATCTGCATGGAAAAGCACAATTTCTTTTAATAGATTTCTATCTCAGGCAATGTCAAATCTACAAAATGTGTGTTTGTTACAGTATCTAATTTAATGTGAAGCCTCGGGGCAACAGTGTGAAATAATATTCAAGTCTTTTCATCTGAGAGTAAGATATCTTACAGTAAAGAAAATGCATATGCAGATTTGATCATTTAGGGATTACATCTTTCTAACTGAAATCACATTTTTGACTTCATTCTACCAAACCCAAAACCATCTGACTAAAACAATTGTTCAAATCACAAAAATGTGTTATACATTTATAGAATTCTGTTGCTATTTTCTTTACTGTCTTTTGTCTTTACTGTCAAGTCACTGGAGGTGCTGAAATTAAATTTGCGATGTTAACCTATGTAAGAAATACATCTTGTGTGTTCTACTGTCTTCTGCTTTTCCATAAACATTATTTGTGTAATCACATAGCAAAACCATTAAAACATATGCTCAGATTGTTTCAGATGTGTTGGGGTGGTTATTCTGAGAATGGCTTTTTATTTTGCCGGTAAACATTTAACCAAAAACATTCAGGCAATGCATATACACAACAGAATTGTTAACAGTGAGTACTGTGTACTCGAAAATACTGTAATACAAAGACCACAACATTGATTCTAATTCAGCTTTTATGTTCTTGAATTATTATTATTAGGCCTATTATTATTATTTTGCTAATTTGTCACAAAAAAATTGTTTATACTGTATCTCCAGAGATTTGTAATTGATTACTTGACTATTTTAGATGATCATAGTTTCTAAAATCTAATTCATCTTGTTATAATGGATTTTTATATTTTAAGTTAAAAGAAAATCTAGGCCTGGCACAACGGTAATTCAATTAAAAATGACATATAAAAAATTAAAATAGGGAAAAACTTATGAAGGCATAAAGTTTTCCAATTGATAAAACTAAAACCTGTTAGTTGTATTATTATTGTTATTGTTATTATTATTATATACACTACAGTGTATATTATATACTGGACATTTACATTTATTGATTTATCATGGACGCAACCTGATGAACTGAACAAACTAGATTTCATATACTTTTAGCCATATTAAATGGAACATAAGATAATCCCACTGATCTATAATAGAGAGGTTCGAACACTTCTAGTGACTTCTAAGACATTACTCTTCAGTAAAAGGTCTCGAGACGGACTTTACCCCTTCATACCATTGGCTGAACGTGCCCCTCCTCGAACACTTTTGGAGTAGAATCCACCGCTTTCCACACACAGTTTAATTTTTGGAATTGCTGCAGAAATATTTGTGTTAAAAACATCAGCAATGCATAAAGTTTGTTCTCGGCTACACGGTCCGTCTGTGTTCGGGAAAACGGACCCGTGGAATTCAGTGGACGCGTGTGTAAAATTCCACAAAGGTTGCGGTAAGGATGCAATGTTTGTCTCACATTTAAAGTGACCGCAACATGTAACGGTTTTATTATATAGTACATAAACTGCGTTTGCGTATTTCGGCTCGAACGAATCTGTAGTCCGGATTCCCGAGCATCGAATCACGAACACATAACGGCCCTGTCATCATAACAAAAATGTAAATAAGTATGTGTTTGGACATTACCATGGTGGTACTGTGGTAATTAATGACGAATGACTGCCCTGTCAGTATTAAAACACTTCTATCTATCTATCTATCTATCTAGAAGTTGGATATATCATACAATTCTTACTGCTTAAAGTTGTTAGATAGATAGAATACATATCAACAGTGTTGGGGAAAGTTACTTTTAAAAGTAATGCGTTACAATATTGCGTTACTCCATAAAAAAGTACCTAATTACGTTACTTCGTTACTTTTTGTGGAAAGTAATGCGTTACGTTACTTTTTAAATCTGGACAGGGCTTGCTTGTTTGTTTTTAAAATAAAAAAGTTCTATTTTTGGCAAATATATAAAAGCCTTTTCACACCAAAAGTGAAATGAATAAGCCTCGGGCTGAAGGGAAAGTAAATGTACGTCCGTACAGCAGATTACAGAAGAAGACATTTCAACACACTTCAGCAATAAAAAAAACACACAAATGTTTGTCTAGAGTGATTTGTGCTTATTAGTACGGCTGAACTGGATCATCGAAGGTCAGGAGCAAAGACATTGGTTAATTAAACACATGGGATTAAATACATAAAGGATATTTGTGTTGTTTAACATTTAATTATTGCAGGTTTGCGTTATTTTTATTCATTTTGAGGAATTCTGAATCTGTGTTTTTTTTTTTTTTTGAGTGAGATGAATTAATGCATATTCATATTTATTTTAGAACTACAGTAACATCTTCTGATTTCTGTCACCATGGCGACACCAGAGCTGTCAATCAATAAATTGGAAAAAAAGTAACTTGTGTAACTCAGATATTCTCTTGTAAATGAAAAAGTAATGCGTTACTTTACTAGTTACTTGAAAAAAGTAATCTGATTACGTAACTCGCGTTACTTGTAATGCGTTACCCCCAACACTGCATATCAATATCTATCTATCGTAAAAATATTTTAAAATAATAGTAAAAAATTTTATACAATATACTCATACTACTTAATACTATACAAATAATATGATAGATAGATAGATGGATGGATGGATGGATTAAATATGCCTATCCTATATCAGCACTGTAAATCTTCTGTGCCAACGCATGCAAGGTTACTGGGAGGTTAGCAGGTTTCAGGACAGGGCTTTCCTGCAGCTTAAAAGATAAAAATATCCCCTTTGCATATGAGCTGGCAGGAAATATTGTGACCCATAACTGCCTCTATGGATTACTGAGCACTAAATGTACCTCTGCCCAGGTGTGCTTTGCCAAAAATCAGCCGTGAAACACCCACCACCTGTGCTGCCCCAGATTCCCCCATGTGACTTTAAACCTCAGCCGTATCAGGTAAGAGGTTTATATCTGAGGGCATTCATAATAATAGTAATCAGAGAGAAATCAAATCATTTTTAAGCATGAATGATTTTTTCCTTTAGGGCATGTCTAAAGACCGTTTACTAGACATAAGGAAAAACAACTGCAACCCTATGACTATGAAGGTAACATACTACAAGAAGCCAGTCTTCATAAACCAGGGTTACATGCAGTGGCTGTGGGACATGGATGGAAGACGCTATCTGGACTTGTTTGCGGGGGTCGCTACTGTTAGTGTAGGACATTGTAACCCGTAAGTTTCAGTTTGTTGCCATGCAACATTTTTGTTTATTTTGTGAACGTGTGCATTACAGTTCGCTTGAACTGCAATAATGACTAAGCTGTAGATTAATGCTTATTATGGACTTGTTCCAGCATTTTATTGCCCAGAGCTCTTACATGGGCTGCTGTGTTTGTTTTTGTTTACAAAATTGCATTATTTCTAAAATGTAATTAGAAGTTTGAATATGGTTGCAGGAGAGTGACAGAGACGGCCGAGAAACAGCTGAGGCGTCTATGGCACACGACAGCCATCTATGTGTATCCACAAATACAGGAGTATGCAGAGAAACTGGCCTCTCTTTTGCCAGACCCGCTGAAGGTACTGTATGATTGATGGAGCCACTGCCATTGCTGAAAGTGGAAGGTTGAGCGTATTGCATTGTGAATATATTTTATTACATGTAACATACTCTTGCCTACTGCAGGGGCTTACAAACTGGGGTCTGGGGGTGCCATTTTGTCTGCAAAAAAGTATAAAAAAATTGTTTAGTTTATGTATAGCACGATATAAGTTAAATATCAATTATTAAAATATAAAATTACTAATATATAAAAAACTAAATTATATATAAAAATAAAATCATAATTAAAATCAGAATCATAAGAAGTAGTCATACAGAATGTGACAATTACATTTCATTGTGCTTTCTAATGTTGGAATTCATTAGATTGTCACAAAATTAAGAGACTGTTACAGAAGATACAAAAAAGAAAATTATCGTAATTTCAGTATTTTCTAAATAATTCATATATATACACTACCGTTCAAAAGTTTGGGATCAGTAAGATTTGTAATATTTTTTTACCGAAGTTTCTTGTACTCATCAAAGCTGTATTTATTTGATCAACAAAAAAAAACGGTTATTTTCTGAAATATTATTGTTAAATAAAATTTCTATTTGAATATACTTTAAAATGTAATTTATTCCTGTGATGCAAAGCTGAATTTTCTGCAGCCATTCCTCCAGTCTTCAGTGTCACATGATCCTTCAGAAATCATTCTAATATGCTGATTTATTAACAATGTTGGAAACAGTTGTGCTCCTTCATGTTTTTTGGAAACTGTGATACTTTTTTCAGAATTCTTTTATGAATATAAAATAAAAAAACAGCATTTATTCAAAATGGAAATCTTGTGTTACAATATACACCACCGTTCAAAAGTTTGGGGTCAGTAAATTTTTTACTTTCTTTTTTTGAAAGTAATGAATACTTTTATTCAGCAAGGATGTGTTAAATGGATAAAAAGTGATAATAAAGACTCATATTGTTAGAAAAGATTTTAATTTTAAATAGCAGCACAACTGTTTCCAACACTGATAATAAATCAGCATATTAGAATGATTTCTGAAGGATCATGTGACACTGAAGACTGGAGTAATGATGCTGAAAATTCAGCTTTGATCACAGAAATAAATTACATTTTAAAGTATATTAAAACAGAAAACCAATATTAGAAATTGAAATAATATCTCACAATATTACAGTAAGCATGTCTTATAACTGTATGCATTTGAGTTGTGGGATCTGTCTTGCAAAGCTTCGATACATTTTTTTCCCTATGTGGATTGTGTTCATTTTAGACCATGTGTCCGGATGTGTTCAGGGGCCTCTGGGGAGGAAGCCACTGTAGAGACTCCCCAGTTCAAACCATCCGAGAATGCAGCTGCTCCCCAGGTACAAACACACACATACACACACACACACACACACACACTATCAAAGCTTAATGAGGGCATACTATATAGACTTCTACTGTTTTTATATATATATATATATAGTGTAGATTGATGTGAAAAAAAAGTAATTTAAAGCAGTTTAGCATAAGGCTGCAAAATAACAAAACGTGAAAAAAATTTATACTTTCACAAGGCACTGTATATCCAGCACTGACTAAAAATTCCACAAACACTTAACTCATTGCTTTCAAATATTAACATGTGGCAAGTTATATCCTGATTATCATTTTTATCTTTCTACAGGGTGTTGGTGGGGCTGTTCAGTTTCCAAAAAACTACCTGAAAGACACCTACCAGCTTGTTCGGGAGAAAGGAGGAATCTGTATAGCAGATGAGGTCTGAAGAATTTGCTTGTAAATACCATTCTGTACATCAGTGAAGCCAAAAACACAGGGTTGGTGCTTCAGATTGTCCCACATTTTCAAAAACAAACAGAGTGTGTATCACTCTAGTGAAGTAAATGGCAACACCTGTGCTTAACCCCGCCCCAATTGCAGTAAATGGGGGGTTTCAAAGTGTTTTTGAAAACAGTACAGTTATCGTTTCAGTGTAAACTACTAAAAACACAAATTTGTGACGTGTATTATGATTTCGCATTGTGTTCCTTTACAAAGTTACATCGCCAACTACTGGCCTGGCAAGCATCATATAGTGTTTAAAGTGTGGATCGTTTGGACAACGAATAATGCAAATTAAAAAGCTTTTTTAGTACATCTTTGTCATGTAAATGTAGACATTTTTACACACAATTAAAAATGCAAAATAACTCTTATTAATTGTTTATTTTTAAGAAAACTGGATGCTGCTCACTTAATTAAAATGCATGAAGTGATCATGTGACGACACTGTTTGCGGCATTATTTAAAAAAAGATTTATAAAATCATGAAACGGTATGATGTATGCAGCCAATAAATTTGAAAACAGTTCAGACAGTACATAGCCTAATTATGCATGAGTATCCAAGTGTACAGTATCCAACAGAAATAAATAAGGTTGTTTCACATTAAAAAAAAAAACTAAATTTTTGGTCAGATAATGGTTTAACAGAGATTTCAAAACTGAGGTACAGAAAATAATGATTCGTTTATTATAATATATAGATATAATATATAGAAAATAATAATTTGTTTATTTGTTTTATGGCTTTGTAATATACAAATGCTTGCTTGATTACTGAATAACGTTATTATTTATTGCAAATTTGTTGGTAATTTTGGTTCTTTTAGGTCCAGACTGGTTTTGGCCGCACAGGGAGCCACTTTTGGGGTTTCCAAGGACATAATGTCCTTCCAGACATGGTTACCATGGCAAAGGGCATAGCGAACGGTTTCCCGATGGGGGCTGTAGTCACCACAGCAGGTGAGGCTAGAGTGAAATTTCGGCAAATTCAGATTAACTTATTATTTGACTTGCTTATTCAAGCTGTCTGTGGCTTTGTAATAGTTATTCAGTTTCTACAAGTGTGCATTCATAGATTAAATTAACTGCATTTAAACCTGGAGGTGTTTTAAATGAGGTACACACAGGGAGTGTTACTCTTCAAAGTTTAATGAGGGACTGTGCAGGAAGACATCGGTCAAACAGGAAGTGGAATTAATCAGCACTCTGAACCCAGTGGTGAGCTTGAATCCAAGTTTCAGCATTGCACTCAAATGCAATATTCTTAGAACAAAATGAACCACAAATTCTAAATTACATCTCTCTCATGTTGCTTTTAATAGGCTTACCATTGTGTTCACCTCAGTGCTTTGTGATTTTGAAAAGCTCTGCTTGAGTACCAGTGTTCCATATTGAAAAGCTCTGATGCTCTGTTGATGCAGGACAACCACCTAGCAGTGCATTACAATAGTCCAGTCTAGCTTTTCTGCATCAGAAACAGGTAACATGTTTCGTAGCTTGGCAATGTATCTAAGATGGAAGAATGCTGTTTTTGTAACATGGAAAATATAATTTTCAAAAGACAAGTTGCTGTCTAATATAACACCCAGATTTTTGACTGTAGAGGAAGTAACAGTACATCCATCTAGTTGCAAATTGTAATCCAAGAGATTGTGTGTACTGTTTTTTGGTCCAATAAGTAATATTTCTTTCTTATCCGAATTTAATAGGAGAAAATTATTGGTCATCCAATCTTTTACATTTTTAACACACTCTGTTAGCTTAGGTAATTTAGAAGTTTCATCTGGTCTTGTTGAGATATATAGTTGAGTATCATTAGCATAACAATGGAAAATACTTCCGTATTTTCTAATAATATTACCAAGGGGCAACATGTATATTGAAAATAGCACAGGACCTAGAACAGATCCTTGTGGCACTCCATACTTTACTGGTGATAATTGAGATGACTACCCGTTTAAATAAACAAAGTGTTAGCGATCGGACAAGTAGGATCTAAACCATCTTAAAGCCTTCCCTTGAATACCCGTATAGCCTTGTATTCGATCTATGAGTATGTCATGATCTATAGTGTCAAACGCAGCACTAAGATCAAGTAAAACTAGCAATGAGATGCAGCCTTGGTCTGACGCAAGAAGCAAGTCATTTGTAATTTTAACAAGTGCAGTTTCAGTGCTATGGTGGGGCCTGAAACCTGACTGAAATTCTTCATAGAGATCTTTTTTTGCAAGAAGGAGCACAATTGAGCAGACAACTTTTTTCTAAAATTTTAGACATAAACGGAAGATTTGAAATGGGTCTGTAATTTGCCAGTTCATTAGGCAAAGAATTGAATTGAACATACTTGAACTCTGAAAGCATACTGGAGTGCCACTGCTCACTGCCAATGCTTTTTTCCTTCACTCTAATTATGTTCCTCTGGCTCTTGCTGTTTGCTCTTCATCCTGTGAGAAGCTGAGAGAGAATGCGTGAATAGAAAGTGTAAAACCAGAGTAGATTCATTTGTCTAAAATTATGAGCGTACCTAATGCTTAAAGTTGCACCAAATAAATAAAACCACACTGAAAAACACCTTGTGAGTGGGTTGCATGCATATTGATTGCACTGATATCATGTGAGTTTTGTATTTTGCAGAGATTGCCAGGTCATTTGGGAAGGGAGTTCATTTCAACACATTTGGAGGAAACCCATTAGCCTGTGCAGTCGCCTCATCAGTGTTAGATGTAAGTACAGATCATTTTACTTGTCAGTTGTGCACAGTTACATTAGTATAAGCAATAGTGAATGCATAAATTGTCATTGTGTGTGATAAGTTATATATTAGAAAAATAAACAATAAAATTACATAAAATGTAAAATGTATTATGATATGTTTGTGAGATAATGATAAAATTGTACAAAAATATACATAAAAATATCTGTTATCAGCAATAGTAATTAAAATGTTACTGTGAGATAATACATGATAAACTAGTAAAAATGTCTAAATAATAGTATAAAATAATATTAAATCTAATTAAAAATAAAAAGATCAATGGTTAAAAAAATAATATAAAACATCTGCTATCAGTAATGGTGCACAAAATGTTGCTCTAAGTGAGATAAATCAAACTAGTATAAAAATATCAATAATATAAAAAAATAGCATAAAATGTAGTTAAAATAAAAAGATCAGTGGTACATAAAATGAAAAGTATATCTGGTATCAACAATAGTGAATATATCTCAAATTATAAACTAGTACAAAAATCTAAATAACAGTATAAAATATACTAGTATAAAATATAGCTAAAACAAAAAAAATATCAATGGTTTATAAACAGAGGCGGACAAAGTACACAACACCATTACTTAAAGCTGCAGTCCGTAACTTTTTTGTGTTCAAAATTTACTAAATGTATATAATAAGCGAGTACACCATGAATCCATTTTCCAAACCATGTTTTTTCTTGTCCTGAATCACTACGGTACACCTATAATAAGTGTTTATATTCTGACTATTTAGACTGGTTCGGGTAGGTACCGCTGCGGAGTAGCCCAGTAGCCCAGATTCGCCATAGACATAAACAGAGAGAAGTAGCTCCGGCTACAATGTTCTTCTGCAAGACGCACGCAGTTCTGTTTATTAACCGCTAGAGTGCTAAAAGTTACGGACTGCAGCTTTAAGTGAAAGTACAGATACTGCTGGTCAAATATTACTCCATTACAAGTAAAAGTTGTAAAGACAGATTTTTACTTAAGTAAAAGTACAGAAGTACTTACTTTTAAAAGTACTTAAGTACCAAAAGTAAATTTCCTTTTTTATGTCAATGCACTGTTTTATTATTGTTGTATGTAATACTTGCAATACCTCTGAAGCAACTTACAATACATTACACCTACTGAATACACTAACTAGCTTGTAGCACATTTGGAATAAAGGAGCTTTTAGAATGTTAAAAACCTATGGGGTAAAAACAAAACAAAAAAATAATGATTTAACACCCCTACCCACCCCCACAAAAGCAGGATGGTAGTGATCTCACACAGCTCTGGACACATCTATGTGTAGCCATTCATCCACATTTGAACAGAGTGGACAGTGAAATTGCTGTAAATAAAGACTAAGGAAGAAAATAAAAAATCAGACCTGCTTTAAAACCCAGCAACACAACTGTAGCTGTATAACTTTACAACAGCAACACTGCTTTAACAAAAAAGCGAAACAGCAAGACTTATTTGACATCAAAACAAAAATTGCTGTACTTTGATGTCACACACAGAATGGTCTACAGTGCTGCTTCAGTCAAACACCTATTGTGTTTTATTAGGAGATGCACAACAGTTCTTCTGTGGCTTTATAGGTAATATTTTCACTTACACAATTTAGCAAAATCAGACAATATTGTGTCTAATATAAACCACAATATTAACTTCTTATTATTGAATTGCTGTAATTAAATATCACATTTGGAACTGGTCAGTGCTCAAAAAATCCTGGGAAATCACTTCATGTAGCCCCAAGAGTGATTACTGATAAACTGTCTGGAAAAAAAGAAGAAAAAAATCCCCCACTGACTTTCAAAGCTTCTAATGACTTTCTACTTTGAGGATCTTCATAGGAATGTAGTGGAGTGAAAAGTACAATATTTGTCTTTCAGATGTAGTGAAGTTAGAGTCATAAGTTTCCAGAAAAAAATAATACTCAAGTAAAAGTACAGATACTCAAAAAGTGTACTTAAGTACAATACTCAAGTAAATGTACTTAGTTACTGTCTGTCTCTGTTTATAAATAGTACTTGAAATAATACTTGAAACTGAATGCTGTATTTTGCTCTCAGACAATAAAAGAGGACAAGATGCAGGAGAACAGTACTGAAGTGGGGACGTACCTGCTGACTGAATTGGCCAAGCTCAGGGACAAGTACGAGATCATCGGTGACGTGAGAGGAAAAGGTCTTCAAATTGGGGTGGAGATGGTCAAAGACAAGGTGAAAGCAGCAAACGTTAAAATACATGAAATGCACGTAGCTTTCATTCATATTATACTATTGATATTATTAGCCAACACAACAAATATGTGTTTTAAGGATCTATGGAAGCCTGTTTCCATAGGCGCGGGAAGCGGGGGTGCTGAGGGTGCTGCAGCACCCCGTTTTTTTCTGTGGGCAACTGTTTAACTGTTGGGAATAAAAAAAAAATCAGAGTGTCTATTTACAGAGTGCAAATAGCCCGCCTTGTTGGCAGAGGCTATTTACAATAACTCCACCCACCAACGTGTGATTAAGCTAGTCAACATGACAAAAGACAGTCGTCAATCGTCAGATTCAGTGGCGTAGATGGTAAAGCGTGTGTCGTGCTCCTTTTTTTCTCCCTTTTCAAATTTCAAATCACATCAGGAAAGCATTTATTTATAATAAAAATTAAGGAAATAATCTAAAAGTTTAGTAAGGAGGGCTTTTGTCCCAATAAGGTGGCATCCATTTAATAATTTGAATTAAAATTAAAATTTACACTCAATAAGTTATTGCATACTGTTTTATAATGTATTACAATGCTAAGCTGCAGATAATTGCCACTATTTGCAATAAGTAATTAGCAGAATATCCTGCTATTTTAACATAGTATAAATAGAAACTATAGCTATTTGCACTTAGTGTAAATAGCATATATCACTAAAAATACTGCTATTTTCACTTAGTGTAAATAGCATCTATCGCTAAGAAAATATGCTATATTCAATTAGTGTAAATAGCATCTATTGCTATTTGCACTAAGTGTAAATAACCTCTACAGCACCCCCAACCTAAAACATCTTCCCCGCGCCCCTGCCTGTTTCTGTCACGTTAAAAAAATGAAAAAGGTAATTGTGAAATTTGATCACACAATTCACTTTTTTCTCGCAATTTTGAGTCTACAGCTCGCAGTTATATTTTTCTGTAAACTCTTGAGTTTGCCTCTCAATTTTATTTTTTTGTTTCCACTACTAGAAAATTTTGTATTTTATAGCTCACATTTTAGACATTTTTCTTGCAATTCTGAGTCTACATCTCACAATTTTTACTTCTTTTCTGTAAATTGAGTTTACATCTCAATTCAGTTTTTTCCACCACGAAAATAAAGTTATTACGACTTTTTTTTTGCAATTGCGAGTTTATATCTTGCAATATTTAGTTTATATCTAGCAATTCTGACTTTTTTTAAATTATGAGCAAAAAGAGTCAGAATTGTGAGATATAAACTCAGAAAGTCTTAACCTTTTTTATTTTTTTCCCATGGCGGAAATAAGCTTCCATAATGACCTGCCGTACATGGTTTGGATTAATTATTTGTAAGAATACAAACCATTTATTCATATGTTGATATGACATCTTAAATAGCATTGACTGAAATGAGTATAAATATTTTATTTGCTATAGAAACTAATCTATATTTTTGCCAAATGTCAGTAAGAATCCTTAAGTACAATCTTTCCACCTTACAAAAGCAGCAAATTGTACTCAGTTGTCAGCTGAAGGATCGTGTAACTTTGAGTAACGACATTTCGATTCACCTAAACTAATGCCTTGAATACACAAAGACATCTGGCGGTGCATGTGTTTGTCTGCGCAGAGCTTTAATTATGGAAACTGCCTCTCATCAGGTGCAGTAACCTTGCTTATAGCTTTCCAATATAAGAGCACAGCAGCTTTTCATCTGGAAAGAGCTCAAATTCAGGAAAACCGAACGCCTCTTGGCATAAAAGTATTTTAACATAAAAAGATGCACTTCAGTTTTAAATGTCTAAATCCATCTTGTTTTGTGAAAATTAAGGCAAATGACACCTCAGGCTTTTGCACGGTTCAGAAATCACTGTGAAAATCCTCAAGCTTTGTGATTGTGTGCATCCACTTCATTAAACTTTATTTGTAGAGCGAGCTTCGTTTCTTGACCTTGAGGTATGAGAGGAGTCACGAGTAGGAGTTACTTTAGCTCCAGATGGACTAGTTAATGATTCAGAATGTTTGTTGTGAGTGTATGCCATTTTCCTCGCAGGAAATGAGCTAGAAGACTTGTTAGCCATTAACTAGAGCCGAGAGCAATGAGACAGCATGTTCAAACATTCCCAGAACACACTCCACTCTCTGCCTGAGCTAAAAACACCCACTGAACCTCACTTACCTGTGGCTATTTATACTGGAAAGTCTTCAAGGATGTTTCTGGAAAAATGAGACAGACACAAACACTTCAGTCACATTTCAGTAGATTTCACTGGGTGGATAAGTTCAGCTGAACTGAAAGCCCCTGATTTTTCAATCGAAGCTTTGTTTGTTCCAACAGCATAGCTGAAATTGTTCTCCTAAAACCCACTGACCGTCTCTCTCAAACCCATGTGTAGGCCAGCAGGGACCCGCTCCCTCCTGAGGCCATGGCTGAGATCTTCGAGGACACTAAAGACATGGGTGTACTGATTGGAAAAGGGGGGCTGTATGGACAGGTAGGCGAGGGAATCTGAAAAGCGATTCTTGCGGATGTGGAATATGAATGCATGGGGTGTGGGGATGTTGTGCAATGGAAAAGGTATTTCAGGGATTCACTTCAGTCTTGTAGTGGCATGGATGCTCAATGCCTCAGGAATCCTGAGGCAAAGCTTGTCTGAACTTATGGAAATAATCATAGTAAGCACTGAATGTACACTTAAAGGAACAGTTTCTAAAATAAAAAAGTTTTTTTTAAAATATATTTTACAATTTTATCATTTACAATTAGATGTGTATATATAAAACTGTACAGAATATACTTTAAACTTCAATTCATATTCAAGTGTAAGTAAAAAAATACTACAGTAAAATATATGCTAAATGTATCATTTATTTAAAAAAATGCATTTATTAACATTTTTATTTACTTTGTTAACATTAACATTTTAGATTTATACATTACTTTAAATTCATATTGGTTTAAAATGTATAAACAAAAAATTTAATAAAAAAAAACTAAAGATCATAATCATAAATCATATAGAATATATATATATATATATATATATATATATATATACATACACACACACACACACACACAAATTGTATATTTATAAAATACATTTTTCATTTATTTATTCTGAATGCATTTTGATTTGCTTTTTTGTTATATTTTAGTCAAATAAAACGCAGTATTGTGCAGAATTGTACTAGATGCTTTTTTTTTTTTTTAGGTCAAATTGGGAACATTTTATATACACTGTATTGCCAAAAGTATTGGGACACCCCCTTCTAATGAACAGGTTTGACTACTTTAGTAATTTCCATGAGTACAAATCTTAATGTTTAAGCATATAATGATATTCTAGGGAATTGTGTGCTTCTGATTTTATAGCCACAGTTTGGACAGGACCCTTTTCTATTTTAACATGACCATGCCTTTGTTGTGTATAAGGCAAGGTTCAAAAAGAAATGATTGATTCAGTCAGTGTGGAAGAACTTGACTTGTCTGCAGAAAGCCAAGTCCTAATCCCAGTTGAACACCTCTGGTGTGACTTTAAATGCAGACCTTGAGCCAAAAACTCATCACCAAACACCAAAGACTTGTACATATAGGGACAGTCATTTTAGACACTTCCAAACCTGTTGCAACAGAGATGGAAATACAATTTTTAAATACATGAATTATGTTTCCATCTTTGTTACCACAGCTTTGGAAGTGCCTTTTTCTGTTCTAAAGAAGGGGGTGTCCCAATACTTTTTGTACAAGTCATTGGTGTTTGGTGATGAGTTTTCTGCAGACCAGTCAAGGTCTTCCACACTGACTGAATTAATCATTTCTTTTTGAACCTTGCCTTATACACAACAAAGGCATGGTCATGTTAAAATAGAAAAGGGTCCTGTCCAAACTGTGGCTATAAAATCAGAAGCACACAATTCCCTAGAATATCATTATTTGCTTAAACATTAAGATTTGTACTCATGGAAATGACTAAAGTAGTCAAACCTGTTCATTAGAGTATATATACATTTAAAGCTTATTTTCAAATCTTTTAATCTTAGTCTTGCTCATTCTACTTTTTCCTCAAATGTTTTTCCCCTATCTCACCTGTTCTTTTCCAGACTTTCAGGATCAAGCCTCCTATGTGCATAACTAAAGACGACGCAGACTTCTTCCTCGCAGTGTTCAATCAGGCAGTGCAAAACTACATGGAGAGAAGATAAGACATGCAGAACATGATGAAGACACACTGGCTCAGATTTCATCTGGAGAATTATACGGTCACACTTTATTTTAAGGTCCAATTCTGGCCATTAACAAACCATTAACCATGACTTTTAAACAGTTTAAACATAGCCACAATAAACTCCTAATTTGCTGCTTATTAATAGTTAGTAATGTAGTTGTTAAGTTTAGGTATCAAGTAGGATTAGGGATATAGAATATGGTCATGTAGAATATGTGCTTTAGAAGCACTAATAAACAGCCAATATGTTAATAAGGCATGCTAATAAGTAACTAGTTGATATTGAGAATTGGTCCCTTTACTAAAGTGTTAACATTTATACATTACATAACAGGTCTGCACAGTTCATCTAAAAAGCACCAAAGGCAACAAACACAATTTCACACTCACATTCCTTGATGTATAAGAGCGATATGTCAAGAGCACTTCTTTTTGAGCCTCCTCTCGCTTCACTTTTCACTTCACTTGAGTACACTATACTTTAGAAACTTAGCACCTTCACAAGGTATTTATAAGCACTTGAGCTTTGTCTCTGTGGCCTAGCTGACCATCTAAGACCAGGGGCCTCATTTATAAAATGTTGCGTATAAACCGTCCTAAATTTGTTCTAAGATCATTTCTCAAAAATGCGCAAGTGCGATTCAGAGAAAACGAAAACGGCCTTTGTAAACGCCCCCCAATTAATATCATTACCATATAAAAGAGCACATGCCAATATCCGACTTTCTATGCTTGAAGCACAAGCATAGAGCACAAGCACAAAGAAGGAAAAAAACCTTTGCCGAGTCTGAAACTGAGGTCCTGCTGGCGGAGGTAGAGGTTCGTGCGGGAGGCTTTTTATCTAATAATGCGTAATTATTCTGTGGACAAACAATGTGTGTGCGGTTATATTTTTTCTATTGATTATTATCAAAATTACTACTTCTAGAAACAACAGAAATAATAATAATAGTAGTAGTAATTATAAAACAATTAGGTTTCCAAAAGTAAGAATAAAGTACGAATTCAAGTACAATTTTCAGTCATCTTCTAAAAAGTGAGCCATCCTACTTTTAAAATCACTTGCTATGACAACTAATAAAAAGTTTAGTATCACGAAATTCTTGCAAAACTTTAAAAATCATTATTGAACGAAAAATTGGACGTTTCATATCATAATAAAATTAATTATTACACGATTATGGGCTCTGGTCTGAAAAAACCTGCATGTGATTTGGCATTTCTTTATATTTACACAGTTTACTAATGCTGCTCAAATGTGCCATTAATGTACTGACACAAAAATATATAGTGTATTTTATACAAATATAACTGATGTAAATGACAAAAACAAAGTTTAAGGCTGCTGTCTCTATTTATTTTCACAGAAGCAAAGCAGCAGATGTTATAAATAAAAACAGTTAACAAAGTTATTGAATAGAATATATTAAAACCGTTACTGCATGACAGGCCTATTCTTATAGGCTACACAGACAAAACAGTCGGAGATGCGTTTGTGCATTTTTTTTCTGTTTTATGCATTAGTAGTAAATCAAGACTTCCCAAGTTCTCTTGTAAAATAAAATAATAAAAAACAACATGGAATAAACCGTGCTATTACCGGGCTACTAAAAAGGTCAGTTTAATCTCGCAAAAACTCACGTTAATAAAAAATCTGACTACACTGCACAATTAATCTCTTACACTGCATCTTTTTTGTTTCTGATGAATTCGGTGCTTTTATTATTATTGCAGCTTAGATGTTCAAATAGCTGCAGTACTCCGACTTTGCCACAAGGAAAAGTGCGTATGCCTGCTCAGACCCTGACGTGACGGTAAGTACTTTTCCACGTCAAAGACCGTTTTTAGAAATATGAACGTTGCCGTGGATTTTAGCGTACGCACACTCTAAGATCAAATCTGTGCGTACACACATTTTATAAATGAGGCCCCTAATCTTTAAAAGTTTCTAAAAGTTTTACTCTCAAAATCATTTAGGAGACTGATTTATCAAACACTTGAATTAAAAGAAGTGAAAAACATGAATAATACTAGTCATGTTATTGTCATGTAATAAAGTATACTAATCCAAGAATCAGTAAAGTCAAACAAAATTAGTTGGTACAAAATGATTTTAGTATCTAACAATACAACATGATATACTTGCTATAACAGGTTTGTGTTGTTTTACAGGTACAGCTACATCCATTGATTTTATACATTAAAAATAAAACGACGCATAAAAACAAAAAATCTGGTTCAAACTATCTTTTAAATTTGATAATTGTCTTTAGTGCTGAAAAATATAACAAATATTGTTTCTCGCAATGCTAAATAAAGACTAAAGCACATTTGTAGAATTTACATTGTAATTGTGGCTTTTTAAATGTATTTTAACAGCAGGGCTGCATTTGCAGTAAAACAGCACTTTAATAAATACATAAATATGTTTGGAGAGGAATTAACTTTAAACCTGACCCAGTTCAAATGGCATTCATAGTCTGTACGATTAAGGCAAGCAAGGTCACTTTTATAATAAATAAATCTGTTGATCCTTAAAACGTCATGTGAAGATATGGATATTTTTGTCCTGTAAAGAAAGCAACTGTATATTAAATAAGCATCCAATGTTTTTCCTGGTTCTTTTTGAGATCCTTTCCTGGAAATCCAATGGTATTGTTTTGCATAACACTAAGCCTTTTTATACCGCAGCTGACCCATTACACGTGGTGCAATAAAAATATTTGAATGTTTAGCTTTTACCCTTTTCACAATCCTAAACCCATCGGTCTTATTACTAAAAATAACACTGTTGTGAAATTTTGCGGTTCATAGCGCATTTCTCCTAATGAACCGTTCCATGTTCCAAAACATTTCCAATAAAATTGAAGCTCTTTGAAATATTGTCAAAAGCAAGTTCAAAACATCCAGTGGCGTTTTATTCCTCACGAAGCCTTTTAAAGGTTACCAGTCTGGAATGGTGTCCATGAAAACGCAACTAAACCGGACATAAAATGTGCCATCTTTAGTAGCAAGATCATTATTTTTAATCTCCTAAAAACTAAATTCTGATGAATTCGGTGCTTTTATTATTATTGCAGCTTAGATGTTCAAATAGCTGCAGTACTCCGACTTTGCCACAAGGAAAAGTGCGTATGCCTGCTCAGACCCTGACGTGACGGTAAGTACTTTTCCACGTCAAAGACCGTTTTTAGAAATATGAACGTTGCCGTGGATTTTAGCGTACGCACACTCTAAGATCAAATCTGTGCGTACACACATTTTATAAATGAGGCCCCTAATCTTTAAAAGTTTCTAAAAGTTTTACTCTCAAAATCATTTAGGAGACTGATTTATCAAACACTTGAATTAAAAGAAGTGAAAAACATGAATAATACTAGTCATGTTATTGTCATGTAATAAAGTATACTAATCCAAGAATCAGTAAAGTCAAACAAAATTAGTTGGTACAAAATGATTTTAGTATCTAACAATAAATCTTTAAAAGTTTCTAAAAGTTTTACTCTCAAAATCATTTAGGAGACTGATTTATCAAACACTTGAATTAAAAGAAGTGAAAAACATGAATAATACTAGTCATGTTATTGTCATGTAATAAAGTATACTAATCCAAGAATCAGTAAAGTCAAACAAAATTAGTTGGTACAAAATGATTTTAGTATCTAACAATACAACATGATATACTTGCTATAACAGGTTTGTGTTGTTTTACAGGTACAGCTACATCCATTGATTTTATACATTAAAAATAAAACGACGCATAAAAACAAAAAATCTGGTTCAAACTATCTTTTAAATTTGATAATTGTCTTTAGTGCTGAAAAATATAACAAATATTGTTTCTCGCAATGCTAAATAAAGACTAAAGCACATTTGTAGAATTTACATTGTAATTGTGGCTTTTTAAATGTATTTTAACAGCAGGGCTGCATTTGCAGTAAAACAGCACTTTAATAAATACATAAATATGTTTGGAGAGGAATTAACTTTAAACCTGACCCAGTTCAAATGGCATTCATAGTCTGTACGATTAAGGCAAGCAAGGTCACTTTTATAATAAATAAATCTGTTGATCCTTAAAACGTCATGTGAAGATATGGATATTTTTGTCCTGTAAAGAAAGCAACTGTATATTAAATAAGCATCCAATGTTTTTCCTGGTTCTTTTTGAGATCCTTTCCTGGAAATCCAATGGTATTGTTTTGCATAACACTAAGCCTTTTTATACCGCAGCTGACCCATTACACGTGGTGCAATAAAAATATTTGAATGTTTAGCTTTTACCCTTTTCACAATCCTAAACCCATCGGTCTTATTACTAAAAATAACACTGTTGTGAAATTTTGCGGTTCATAGCGCATTTCTCCTAATGAACCGTTCCATGTTCCAAAACATTTCCAATAAAATTGAAGCTCTTTGAAATATTGTCAAAAGCAAGTTCAAAACATCCAGTGGCGTTTTATTCCTCACGAAGCCTTTTAAAGGTTACCAGTCTGGAATGGTGTCCATGAAAACGCAACTAAACCGGACATAAAATGTGCCATCTTTAGTAGCAAGATCATTATTTTTAATCTCCTAAAAACTAAACAAAAAATGCACGGCCTACTCAAAAACATCCAAGTCTCATTTGCCTACAGAAGAGCTCTGAGGCACCAGATTACACATCAATGATGGTGGGAATAAATGGCAGTTCTAGGGAAATCTTTTGGCATATGGCGCGTTACAAAAGAAATGTCAGCCCATGGGGCACAAATTCATTCTTCTAGGGACAGAAATACACACGCTTCCTGATGCACAACTGCATATCAAGCTGTAAAAAACAGCAGAGGTTTTGTTTTCTTGGACAAATGTACATCAGTGTGCAAATGTGTTTCAAATGTGCCTCTCGGTTATCTGTTCTTCCTGGCGTCCTTCTTTTTCTTGCACGTTTGGGCAGTGTTACTGGAGAGGGCGGTGGCGTGGCCCGTGGTCTTCAGGTGATCGAAAAGTTTGTTCCTGGTGGCAAATTCATACTGACAGGTCACACAGCGCAGGTTGAGTTCCTTCTATAAAGAGCAGACCAAAAAAAAAAAGTTAGATTAAACTTAGCTACCACGTGTCATTTTGGAGCGAGAAAACTGACTCTGAAGTAAAACTGCAGGATTTGAATTGCAACAAAAATTAGATTTAACACAATTTGGCCAACATTTTGTGATCATATATCAATATAACTATAATATAATAATAGTAGTAGTAGTATTATTACAAAATAAAATATTATTTTAAAAAATATTATTTTTTTTATTGTGCTTGTTTGTAGGATTGCATGATTTGTCTGGTGTTTTTCCGTTTTATATCAATATGGCTTAAAAACAATAACTGTTATTATTAAAATTAAATAATATATAAAAATAATAAAACAAGAAACATTACTATTATAATATTTCACTGTAAAACAAATAATAATAGAAAAATATAATTTATTTTACATTAAACTGTTAAAAAAACTGCTTGTTTGTAGGATTGCATGATTTGTCTGATGTTTTTGAATTTTATACCAATAGGGTTTAAAATGATTATTAAAATTATATAAAATATAAAAATTACTACAACAGGAAACATTACTATTATAATATTTCACTGTAAAACAAAAAATAATAATAGAAAATAGAAAAATATAATTTATTTTACATTAAACTGTAAAAAAACAACAAAACAATACTACTATTTATGGCTGTCTTACTTTCTTCATTTTCAAATATTAAACCATCAAACATTTGCACATTAAAAAGCCACCCAAACTGTAGAGCAGAGATGGGAGTTAAATCGCAGTCTTTGCGGTTTTTTTAATAATCACACTGAGCCATATTGCAATTTCAGATATATTTTGATTAATCATACAGCCCTACTCCAAATTATGTAATTGCTAAAAATGAATGCACAATGCCTTTTTAAAAATCAACAGTCTGGATTTTCAATTATACTACAGTTTACATGTTTATTTCAATATATAATGTGTAAACTACTTCATTACACCAATCAGAATGAATAAAGCTGTTGTATAGTGCATATTACTCAATTATAGCCGTTATAGGAAATCACATTATTAAGTCATATGAAGTTGTTTATGTCTAGATGAGGTTTATAAAAGAGCTGTAACATCATAAAGGAGTGGCTGTTTGCTCACATGTACAAACATATGCTAACAAAAGTACAGTACACACCTCTTGTGCAACTTCCACACCTCCGTGTGGTTTACTGTTCTTCTTACAGTCTTTTCCACCTTTCTTCTCTTTTGTCTTTGCAGAGCTGTAAAGGGTGACATTAAGAGTTCATCTCAGTTGATATCAATATACAGAGGACTTTACCCACAATGCAAGAGCTTAAACACTTTATAAGAGTTTCAAACCAGTGGATTGTTAAAAAGGCATTTAAGAGATACCTTTTTTGGTTTGTGGGTTCATGTTCCTCTGGTTTTAGCTTCTCATCTGGGTCCTCAGAGGGGACAGGGGCATCCTCGTTGTTGCCCGAGTCAGGCGCAGGTGCGGGATGCTCTTCTGTGGACTGTGGGACTGTGCTGTCAATCTCCGGATCTTCTGGAAGATTCTACAGAACAACCGCATTAGAAAATACAATTTTATTGGATAAAAGATCACTTTAAATTAAAATACATCAGGGGTTTGGAGGTTAGATTTCATTTACGTTTTTCTGCTGCCGTTTCTTTTTCTTCTGCCTTTTAGATAATCTGTAATCAAAAGAACCAATCAGTGGACAGGATTAGCCAACTATGCGCCAAGAATCCCTCTAGATGCTTTTAAAAAACTTGCAAAGTTTAATCATTTGAAATCATTAAAATGTTTGAAATATCATTAAGCAATGACATTGTCATCTTATATTTATGTTTACATTATTCATTTTACAATAATGTTCACAATAAACATTTTAGACATCATGATGTATTGTGAAATACTGTAAAAGTTGCAAAGCAAACAAATTCCAATCAAAGAGGACACCGCAAGTGCTGACAGGCATGTTTTACTTTTGTCTCGGGGTGTCATCGAGTTCATCATCATCATTCTCTTCCTCGTCTCTCTCGGCAGAGCTGTGACTCAGTGACTTGTCTTCCTCCTCCAGCTGTTGCCGTAGCAATGCCACCATCTCTCTGTGTTTCTTAGACTTCTCATGGTTTTTCATACTGATGTGTGAGAAAAAAAAATTATACTGCCGCATTAAATACATGTAATGCAAGTCATCTAGTGTGAAAACATGCTGTGCATTTGAGATTATGTAAAAAAACATGCTAACTAGAAAAACAACACATCTATGAACAAATACATGTTTGTTTTAACATTTAAACATCTACATTAATTTAGCTTATCAGATCATTAGTATTATATACACTACTTTTCAAAAGTTTGGGGTCAGCAAGATTTTTATTATTTTTTTGTGGAAGAAATTAATAGTTTTATTTAGCAAGAATGCATAAACTGATCACAAACTGGTTACAAAAGATTTCTATTTCTTCTGAACTTCCTATTCATCAAATAATACAGAAAAAATGTATCATGGTTTTCAACGTGAAAAGTATGAAAGCCTATTTCTGCCACTGGAAAAAAAAAAAGGTAATTGCGACTCTCACAATTCTGAATTTCCCCCCCCCGCAATTGTGAGTTTACATCTCGTAACATCTCATTTTTCTCAGAATTGCGTGATATAAACCTGAAGTTGTGAGTTATAAAGTCAGTATTGCATGATAAAACTCGCAATTCTGAGAAATAAAGTGAAAAATAAAGATTCTGAGAAATTCACAGACTTTTTTTTTACGCAATGTAAACTCGCAATTATGACAAAGAAAGTCCGAATTGTGAGATAAGACGCAATTACTTTATTTTTTATTCAGTGGTGGAAACGGGCTTCCATAGAAAAGTTTCTTGAGCAGCAAATCAGCATATTAGAATGATTTCTGAAGGATCAAACACTGTGACAAAGAGGACTGGAATAATGATGATGAAAATTCAGCTTTAAATCACAAGAATAAATTACATCTTAAAATTTATTAAAATTGAAAAGTTCTTTGAAATTATAATAATATTATTATTTCACAATATTACTGTTTGGACTTCATTATTTATTTGGTGAGCCTTTAAAAACCCTGACCCCAAACTGTAAAACGGTAGTGTAAATACTGTATATATACTTTAGAAATGTAAAGCAGCTCCGGATCTAAACTGAAGCGCTATATAACTTAAAATGTTTTTCAATGACCTAAAAATTTGAAATCTACAAAGTGAAATTAAATATTTGTTTGTGAAGTGATGGAGGGTGAGCATGGAAAGTTTCAGTGCGGTGTATGTGGGTGCTCTATTCACTCACGCTTTATCGGATTTGAACGATTTGTCACAGGCAGGACAGTACAGGTCATCATAATAGTCGTTCATTTCCGCGGCACCATCTGCCTGCACCACATCTGACAAAAGTCATACAGCGGTGAGATATGCGTGTGGTCCATTACTCTCAAATGTTTACAGTATAATTGAGGAATTTTTCATGACTTGGTGACGCACTGTGAGTCACTGCATTTACATATGAATCACAGATGATTGCTCTGACTCGTCCTCACCATTTATAGTGACCTCAACAAGTGTTTGCACACTGATGTCACACGTAAAATATCTGAATGTCACTGTATAGATATAAAAATAACAAAACAACTTCAACAGAATTCGTTTTGTGACATGCTGTGCTTAAAAAACTGCTTGCAATATCAAAAATCTCAAAATCATCTAATGTGCACTGAACCTTTGACTGGCCCCTGAACCTCTGGCCTCCTCTACCCAGAATCCACTCAAGTATATGTGTACGTGACATCAAACTCACCTCCCCTGTCCACATTTGCCGTCTCCTGCCCGTTTTCCACCTCCTCCTCGTCCTCTTCACTTTCTGATGCGTCACCAAACTCTTGACCGTACTGTGCTTCCATCTGCTGAAGTTCTTTCTCCAGCTCTGACATGGCAGCCCAACTCTGTTCTTTATACTCTTCCGCCAGTCTAACGGCACACAATCAATATTTAAATAACTGTAAGATATTTTATTACAGCAACAATGTATATAATTTTAGATTTTTAAATATTACATATTAAATATTTTATATTAACAACATTTATGTATTAAATTTAATATGAAATATATTTACATGCATTTAATACATCATTAAAACACATTAACAAAACAATAGAAGTGTGTGTGTGTATATATATCACATTTTATATTTAATAAAAAGTAGTAATATATATATACAAAATGTATATATTAAGTTTAAGTATACAAGTTTATCCAAAGAATTACCACGATTTCTCCAAATTTTAGGTTCCTGTTTGTTTCATTTCTGAATAAGGACTTTTAAAAACCCGCCAAAATAAATGTTTGCTGATTTTAGGTTTGACAATGTTGAAAATTTATATTTAAAAAAAAGAAAAGAAAAGGAAGAAAAAAATGTAAATATTAACATTGTATTTTTATATTAGTATTGTATTTTTAGGCATACTACAAAATAGTTGTATTTTTATTTAAAGCTAATTTTTTATTTTAAAACATAATATTTATTATTTTAAAAATAACCTAATTAAAAAAAGCGGAATTATATTATTTTTATCTATTAATTCGAATAATTACTTTTTATGATTTATATATCAATTTGTTATAATTTATATATTATTAATATATTTATTTATTTTACATATTTAAATTTAAAACTCTGTTATATTTCCAGGTTTCTATTTAAATATAATAATCTATCTATATATAAATATCTAAAAAAAAAAAAAAAATCACATTTTAACTGTTGCATGAAAAAAAATTTAAAAAAAAAATGACCCAGTTATGTCTAATCTTACTCACTTTGCTTGGTGGAGCTTCTGTTTTCTCCTCAGTTCTTCAACTTTTTTGGCCTTCTCTGCATTCTGCTCTTCCACCAGCTTCTTATGAGCCTGAACACGCTTGTCTCGTTTTCGGACGAAGGCCACTAGTTGGCGCACCAGCTCGCTGTGCTCTTTCCTGGCCTTGTCCCTGGTTTTCTTGTTCTCTTTCTCCATGGCTCTCTTCTCCCAGCGGTTGGAGGCCTGTCGCGTGTCGTACTCCTCTTTCCATGCAAAGTTTTTGCGTGTACAGAAGCTCTGCCAGTAGCCATAGAATAAATGCACCACCTGAGAAACAAATAAAGATCGTTATTTAGGGGAAACACAGACAAATGTAATAACTAGATTTTATGTATAGACTTCTTGGATGCTTCTTCCTTTTAACAAGATGAAGAGATTTTAGTGGGCTCATACACTCATCCTCTGTTCATCTGCTTTTTGCAAGCCTCCACTGACGGCAAACACTCCAAAACATCCATTAGGTAAAGTGCAAGTACGAGCCACACCAGAATGGGAAACGGTTAAGATCGTTTAAGATCCCTCAGGCCTAACTGGAGTGGGATGAACCTCAATGTTCAGACTCTGGAGATGCTGGATCCCTTGAACCAAATGTGAAGCTTTCCACTCTTTTAGCTAACAATCTGAAGAATGTTTTCAGAAATGAAAGAGTGCCATCCTGCTACCTGTAGTAGCTGAAAGAAGTATTTATAGATGGAATACTTTTAGGTTCCATTTATCTAACAAGCTAATTATCCACAGTCTCATTTGGCTGTAAGGTCTAAAATGCACTAGAACTCTGATGCCATGTTTTAACACTCAAGTATTCCATCTTCATGGTATAAATACATATCTCTTTAACAAACACAATGCATACTCTCCTATCATCTCAAAATCTGTAACAAATTGATAACTACTGAGTTTGTTGTTGTTTTTTGGTTCATCAACCAGCTCTTAAGAGTCCATACATTTATTCTGTCTAAAGATTGGTTTCATTTTTTAGGGAATTGAATTATTCTGGTTCACTAAAAAGAACAGTTCAGAAGTTTGTAAGATTTTTTATTTATTTTTTTTAAAAGAAGTCTCTTAAGTCTGACCAAAGCTCAATCTATTTGATGAAAATGACAGTAAAATAATAATATGAATTTTAAGCAGCCATTACTCCAGTCTTCAGAGTCACGTTTTTTTTCCCCCCCAATATTGACAACAGTTGTGCTTAATATTTTTGTGGAAAACTGTACTGCACGTTCCAGTGTCTACATACAGTGTCATAGTCACTCTGAGAGTCTCCAAATGAGGGAAACACGTCCTCCTCCTCTTCCTCATCTTTACTGTGCTCCATCTCCTCCTTTACGATAGTCTCAAACACATTCCTGTATACAGTGTAAAAGCCCTACAGAGAAAAAAAGAGAAAGAGTTTGCACTATTAAAACACAGAATACATGCATTTCCACAATAAACTGTCTGAATCTTTCCAAACATGAAAAGCATTTTCAACAAACTTCTACTGCCCTCCAGCGGTACAGGATGGTATAACAGACAGATATAGCTATGTAAGATAATACAAGACATAATAAATCATCATTAATAAATCAAAAATATACATAGAATATAGAATATGAAATAAAATCTCTCATTTAGTTACAGATAAAATGCAATGGTAAAAGACATCCGTCTGACATATTTCACGCATTTAGAAGTGAACACCGGTGAAAAACAAGAACATGTCTGATATGAGCGGACACGTGCATGTGTGGCTACTGGCTGACAGAAAAATGAATTTTAAATATCCACCTTTTCGTCATCTCCGTAACCTGAGTAGCAGGTGACAGTGAAGAACTGCAAGAGATCAATGCTCTCATCCTGGTACTCTCCGCTGACACCCCCTTTCAGCAGCGCCTCTCTGTGGTTATCATACCTTAAAACAAAAGTAACAGTCATATTAACATAAATAAATATTAATGGTATTATATCAAAGGCTGTAATAGTCATTTTAGTCTTAAAAAAAGGCCAAATACTGAATAGTATTATTGGTATTTTTTAAATATTACATAAATTACCCCCCCCCCCCCCCCAAACAAAAAAATATTTTGTAAGGGTTTTTTTTGT